CAAACACTGTGCCTGCCGTGCCTTCCCAGCCCCAGACACTGTGCCTGCTGCCCTCTGCCCAGCCCTGGACACTGTGCCTGCCGTGCCTTCCCAGCCCCGGACACTGTGCCTGCTGCCCCCTGCCCAGCCCCAGACACTGTGGTAAGCCAGGTTGGGTTCCGTGAGGCTGATTACATTGTGTTCTGTACAGCCAAGGGCTGAGAGAGGCTGCCTCAAGGGAGGCTGACCCTCAAAGGGGACCCCAGAAGGGGCAACTGGGAGAGGCTAGGGGCGCAGGGCTGTGAGTGGCAGGCTGAGCCACCAACTGATGCTCGGCTTCTGATCAGCTTCCTGCTGAGACCCCCGAGAAGGCTGGGGATGCCGGGCTGGGCTTTAGGAAGGAATGGACATGGAGGCCAGCACAGTGGCAGAGCAAGTGCCAGCACGCTGCGTGGATGCTGGTTCTGTTCCTGGCAGTTCCACTTCCCATCCAGCTCCCTGCTTGTGGCCCGGGACAGCAGTCGAGGACAGCCCAAAGTCTTGGCACCCTGCACCCATGTGAGAGACCAGAAAGAAGCTCCTGGCTGCTGGCTTTGGCCTGGTGCAGCCCCCACTGTTGCAGTCATTCGGGGAGTCAATCAGCAGATGCAAGCATTCTCTCTGCTCCTCTCTCCGTAGCACTGCCCTTCAAATAAAAAACAAATGTGTCTTTTTAAAAAATAAACCTTAATCTTGGCTTCTCACAGGCGTGGCAGTGGTCCATTTGTGGGAACACTGGGCTAAAGGTGAGTGCAATGTTTACTGCTAAGGCAACTGCCAGCACACTGCACACAGAGCCTGCAGGGTCCCCTGGCACCCACACCTCCCAAGCTCGCACACGGCACACGGAGCCTGCAGGGTCCCCTGGCACCCACACCTCCCAGGCTCGCACACGGAGCCTGCAGGGTCCCCTGGCACCCACACCTCCCAGGCTCGCACACGGCACATGGAGCCTGCAGGGCCCCCTGGCACCCACACCTCCCAGGCTCGCACACGGCACATGGAGCCTGCAGGGCCCCCTGGCACCCACACCTCCCAGGCTCGCATACGGCACACGGAGCCTGCAGGGTCCCCTGGCACCCACACCTCCCAGGCCCGCACTTTAGACTGCTGGTTCCAATCAGCCGCTGTGTCCACGAGGCCTCCTGCCATACTCTCTTGTTCTCCCCATCCCAATCTGTCCCCCAAAATAAAGTCTTCCCTATTTTTTTTCAATATTTATTTTACTTGGTTTTTGACTTGAAAGAGTTGCAAACACACATACAGAAAGCTCTCCCACCCACTGGTTCACTCCTCAAATGGCCACAATGGCCGGAGCTGAGCTGATCTGAAGCCAGGAGCCAGGAGCTTCTTCTGGGTCCCCCAGGTGAGTACAGGGGCCCAAGGACTTAGTCTCTGCTGCATTCCCAGACATGTGAGCAGACAGCCGGACGGGAAGTGGATCAGCCAGGACTCCTGCACTGCAGGCAGCAGCCTAATGTGCCACACCGGGACGTGGCACTGCGTGGCTCATTTTAAAGGCTGTGGGTTGCAAAGGAAGGAGCAGGGACAGCTCTGCGCCTGGACACCTGGGGTGGCCACCAGTCCAGGAGGTGCCCCTAGTTCCTCATTCCATGCATCTGCTCCCTGGAGAGGGCGCTCTGGGCTCGACTGGCAGAGGCCAGCTGGGGACTGGGTACCCAGGACGGCCACCTGGCTACTCGCTGACACCGGCCAAAGAGTGCATGTCAGAGCCAGACTTGCTGCTCATGGGAGACCTACCAGTTCCGAGCCATCACCCGCTCACAGCCCAGAGAGCCCGACTGCACCGGTCAGCCAAGGTGCGTCTAATGCACGCAGGCCCCACAGGCGCTCCCAGTGCAGCAGGCCCAAGTCGGGATCTGCTGGGGAGGCTTCGTACCCTGGCTCCTGCAGGCTATGCTGGTACGGCCCAGAGCAGCCCTGCACAGGTGCCAGCATGGCGGTGTGGCGGGCTGAGTTGCCACGTATGGCTAGGGCATCCCCTGTTCAAGTGCCAGTTGTGGCTCCAGCAGCTCTGCTCCTGTCCAGTGGCTGCGGGTGCCCTGGGAGGGGCGTGGAGGGCGCCCTGAGCTCGGGCCCTGCAACCGCATGGCAGACGCTGAAGCAGCTCCAGCCTGGCTCTGCCCTGTGGGGAGCGAACCAGTGAATGATGGTGAGCTCGTCGCTTGGGCACCCTCCAAAGTGCCTGGGTGGCCAGGGAGCGGGGCTCCCGGGACAGGAGCTCGGCGTGAGTCCCAGGGAGTCGGCCGTTCTGGGTGCAGGGACGCGCGGCCAAACCACCAAGCCACCCAGCGGTCACCCAGGCCATGCAGCAGGGCAGCCTCCAGTGCCACCAGGCCGCCTCCTGGGCATCAGGACAGGATACACTGACGGCAGGGCCCGGAGGTCCTGGAAGCTAGCAGCTCGTGGAGCAAATGCCCGCAGTTTGTCCAAAGGGGCCGCCACACCAGCTGTCCGGCTGAAACCACGGAAACGGCCGACGCAACTTGTTAGAGAGGAGCTGACGTCAGCCAGACTCTCCGAGGGCGTCAGGGGCACGAGGGGCAGAAACGCAGGACGCCCAGGGACGTCGGGCAAAGTGCAGGACGCAGCCAGCCAGGAAACGTGTCCCTCCCGTGTCAGTCACGTGACTCACGTGTCCCTCCCGTGTCAGTCACGTGACTCACGCGTCCCTCCGTGTCAGTCACGTGACTCACGTGTCCCTCCGTGTCAGCCAGGTGACAGGATCACAGCAAGCCATCCCCTGCGGCACCCATTGCGTGTTAGTGAGAAGGGTTAACGGGGGTCCTGCCTGCACTCCAGCCCCGTCACCCCAGCAAGGGTTGGGCTGTCCCCAGCAGCACCCCTACTGCCGTGTCTACTAGCTGATTTTTTTTCCTAAATGCCAAAAGGTATTCAAAGGTTTTATTTAGGGCCCAGCATGGTGGCCTAGTGGCTAAAGTCCTCACCTTGAACGCACCAGGATCCCATATGGGTGCCAGTTCTAATCCCAGCAGCCCCACTTCCCATCCAGCTCCCTGCTTGTGGCCTGGGAAAGCAGTCGAGGACGGCCCAAAGTCCTGGAACTCTGCACCCATATGGGACACCTGGAGGAGGTTCCTGGCTCCTGGCTTCGGATGGGCTCACCACCGGCCGTTGCAGCCACTTGGGGAGTGAATTATCAGACAGAAGATCTTCCTCTATGTACATATCTGACTTTGCAATAAAAATAAATGAATAAAAGGTTTTGTTGTAAACCTCTCTCACTGCACCTCGTTAAGCAAGCTTCTCTGCTTACCCACAGCCAACTGGATACAGAGAAGCTGGATTTGCTGCAATTTGATCTTTCACCAAAACTTACCGCAAGTTACTCAGCACAGAACTTCTTTTTCACAAAGTAAACCAGTGTGTCCAACCCGGGGCTGAAGTCCAGCCCTGCCCCCTTGGCCATTCCCTCTCGGTGCCGGGAAAGGCGCACGGAGCAGCACCGGCTCCATCTGCCTCCGTGGCCAGCGGTTTGGCTCACTACGCCTTGCGAGGTAGCGGCCTGCAGCGAGCCGCCAGCCAGCGATGCTGACGGGGACGAAGGTTTGCAGCAGTCACACGCTCCGGCCATGGGAACGAGTCCCCACACGGCTCCTCTCCGCTCACCCTGCTCAGGAGCCACCCAGGACACGCTTCACGGAGGTCGCCGGCGGACGCAGCATGGGGCACCAGCTGCCAACCGTCGCCAGCCCCCTGCTCGGCCGTCTCCACCGCACACCCAGCCCGACCCCCACCTACATCAGGCCCAACCAAGGCCGGAAAGCTAGCCTGGAGTCCAGGAAGCCAGCTAGGTTTGTCCAAGAATCAGCAGCCTTGTCCCAGGGCTGAAGCCAGCACAGGTAGCCAGGAGGTCCATCCTGCGTGGGACCCCCCAACAAAGCGTCATGATGGTTCCAGCTTCCAGTGTAATTGCCAGCTGCCCTGTACCTCCCTCTGCACCAGCACCAAGCAGCCAGGTTCCCCGAGCTCATGGCTGGGCACATGGAGTGCTACAATGTGTTTCCACTGAGTTTTTTAATAAAATAATCTCAGGCCTGCCGGTGTGGCCTAGTGGCTAAAGTCCTCGCCTTGAACGCACCAGGATCCCATATGGGCGCCGGTTCTAATGCTGGCAGCCCCACTTCCCATCCAGCTCCCTGCTTGTGGCCTGGGAAAGCAGTCGAGGACGACCCAAAGCTTTGGGACCCTGCACCCGTGTGGGAGACCTGGAAGAAGTTCCTGGATCCTGGCTTCGGATCGGCATAGTATCGGCCGTTGCGCTCACTTGGGGAGTGAATCATTGGACGGAAGATCTTCCTCTCTGTCTCTCCTCCTCTCTGTATATCTGACTTTCCAATAAATAAATAAATCTTTTTTTCTCTGGCCGCACGTGTGGCACCGTGCCAGCAAGCTGCCTGGCAAGGAGCCGCTTCTGAGGGACGCCCACTTCATGCCCACATTCTCGCGGCCCAGCTCCCCCGAGAGCACGGCCAACACAGGGAGACACCGAGGACAGCCCTGGCCATGCAGGGGCGAGGCGGGGAGAGACCGAGGACAGCCCTGGCCATGCAGGGGCGAGGCGGGGAGAACCCGAGGGGGGAGACCGAGGACAGCCCTGGCCATGCAGGGGCGAGGCTGGGGGCCAGCAGCAAGCAGCACCGAGGGGCGCAGGCCGCGAGAAGGGCCAGCCCCCCCTGGGTACCTGGGGCTCGGGACCAAAGGGACGTCGGTGAGACCTCCTCGTTCAGGCCCGAGACCGGCGGCCTGCCGGAGGGAACCGGAAGTCCACCTGCCCCTCCGCGGGCAGCCCGGCAGCCGCGCGTCCGACGGCAAGGGCTGACGGGAGTCGTAGTCCCCCGGCGGCACGGCCGGAAGCAGGGGCTGACGGGAGTCGTAGTCCCCCGGCGGCACGGCCGGAAGCAGGGGCTGACGGGAGCCGTAGTCCTCCGCGAGGCGAGCGCGGGACCCGCGGCCATGGCGGGGCTGGAGTTGCTGTCGGACCAGGGCTACCGGGTGGACGGGCGGCGCGCCGGAGAACTGCGCAAGATCCAGGCGCGCATGGGGGTGTTCGCGCAGGCCGACGGCTCGGCCTACATCGAGCAGGGCAACACCAAGGCGTTGGCGGTGGTGTACGGGCCGCACGAGGCGAGTGCGCGGGCCAGGGGACGCCAGCCGCGCGCCGGCTCCCTGCGGGGCCGAGGGGCGCGGGGCTGGGTCCGGCTCCCTGCGGGGCCGAGGGGCGCGGGGCTGGGTCCGGCTCCCTGCGGGGCCGAGGGGCGCGGGGCTGGGTCCGGCTCCCTGCGGGGCCGAGGGGCGCAGGGCTGGGTCCGGCTAACCGGCTGCCCCTTTCCAGATCCGGGGCTCCCGCTCCCGCGCCCTGCCGGACCGGGCCCTGGTGAACTGCCAGTACAGCTCGGCCACGTTCAGCACCGGCGAGCGCAAGCGGCGGCCGCACGGGGACCGCAAGTCCTGTGAGCTGGGCCTGCAGCTCCGCCAGACCTTCGAGGCCGCCATCCTCACGCAGCTGCACCCGCGCTCGCAGATCGACATCTATGTGCAGGTGCGAGGGGGCACCCCCAGGGCGAGGACTGCGGGATGAGGGGGTGCCCATGGTGGAGGATGAGGGGCACCCCCAGGGCGAGGACTGCGCGTGACGGGGTGTCTGTCTCAGGTGCTGCAGGCCGACGGAGGGACCTACGCAGCGTGCGTGAACGCGGCCACCCTGGCCGTGATGGACGCGGGGATACCTATGCGGGACTTTGTGTGCGCGTGCTCGGCGGGCTTCGTGGACGGCACGGCGCTGGCCGACCTGAGCCACCTGGAGGAGGCGTCCGGGGGCCCGCAGCTGGCCCTGGCCCTGCTGCCCGCCTCGGGCCAGATCGCCCTGCTGGAGATGGACGCGCGGCTGCACGAGGACCACCTGCCGCGCGTGCTGGAGGCCGCGGCCCGCGCGGCCCGGGACGTGCACGCCCTGCTGGACCGGGTGGTGCGGCAGCACGTGCGGGAGGCGGCGCTGCTGGGGGACTGAGCAATAAAGGCCTGCGCGCACTCTTGGCTCCTGCCTGCGCCCCGACGACGACGAGGAGGGCGGGGGGCGTCCTCCGGGCCCGGCTGCGCACGCGCGGGAGGGGCGCTGACGCCGCCCGCCGCTCTGGGCATGCGCGGCGCCGCAGGGCCCGCCGGGAGCGGAAGCGCGCGCGACGAGCGGCCGGGGTCCCGGGCCTGGGCGGCCATGGGTCTCCTGTCGGACCCGGTGCGGCGGCGCGCGCTCGCCCGCCTGGTGCTGCGCCTCAACGCGCCGCTGTGGTGAGAGTGCGGGCCGGGGCGGACACCGTGCGGAGGGCGGGCCGGGGGTGGGCGCGGGCCCTGGGCCGGGGCGGACACCGTGCGGAGGGCGGGCCGGGGGTGGGCGCGGGCCCTGGGCCGGGATGGACACCGGGCGGGCCGGGAGGAAACGGATACCGGGTAGACAAGCTGCCCTGGGATTGTGGGCGGGGTGTGTGTGCCGGGCTCGGTGGATGAGCTGCCCCGGAGCGGGCATATGCCCGGGGCTGGGGTGGGCGGGCTGCGAGTGGGCGCAGACACCAGGCGGGCGGGGTGTGGGCGCGGGCACAGTGGGCAAGCTGCCCTGCGGCAGACACCAGGTGGACAGGCGGCCCTTTCGCCCGAATCCCGCGCAGCGTGCTGAGCTACCTGGCGGGAGTTGCCTGGTTCCTGGCGCTGGCCTTCCCGCCGCTGACCCAGCGCACCTACATGTCCGAGAACGCCATGGGCTCCACCATGGTGGAGGAGCAGTTCGCGGGCGGAGACCGCGCCCGCAGCTTCGCCCGAGACTTCGCCGCCCAGCGTCGCAAGTCGGGGTGAGTGGCCGGGCCGGGGGCGCGGGGCGGGGGGCCTGTAGGGGCGCAGCTGACCAGAGCCCGTGTCCCAGGGCGCTCCCGGTGGCCTGGCTGGAGCGCACGATGCGCGCCATGGGGCTGGAGGTCTACACGCAGAGGTTCTCGCCCAAGCTGCCCTTCCCGGATGAGCTGCACGAGCGCTATGTACTGGGGGTTCCTGGGGGGGGCTGGGGGCCGGGGGACGCCCCGCTGTCCCGCGGAGTGACCCCACACTACCCTGTGCAGCTCGTGTCCGGCACCAACGTGTACGGCATCCTGCGGGCGCCCCGCGCCGCCAGCACCGAGGCCCTGGTACTCACCGTACCCTGCGGCCCCGACGCGGCCAACAGCCAGGCCGTGGGGCTGCTGCTGGCACTGGCCGCCCACTTCAGGGGTGAGGCACCGGGGCCGCTGGGTGGGGGGCCTGTCGCCCAGGCAGCTGCTGAGCCCGCCTCGCCCCCCCAGGGCAGATTTACTGGGCGAAAGACCTCATTTTCCTGGTGACGGAGCACGACCTGCTGGGCACCGAGGCCTGGCTGGAGGCCTACCACGACGTCAATGTCACAGGTACAGGTGGGCATGCTCCTGAGGGCGCCACCCCCAGCACCCACTGGCACCCACAGCCTGGCCCTTACAGGTGTGAAGTCATCCCCCCTGGAGGGCCGGGCGGGCGCCATCCAGGCAGCTGTGGCGCTGGAGCTGAGCAGCGACGTGGTCACCAGCCTGGACGTGACAGTTGAGGGGCTCAATGGGCAGCTGCCCAACCTGGACCTGCTCAACCTCTTCCAGACCTTCTGCCAGAAGGGGGGGCTGCTGTGCACACTGCAGGGCAAGGTCAGCTGGCCGACCAGTACGGGGCGCCCCGACAGGGAGACGGGGGCCGGAGTAACCCTACGGGGGAGCGGGGGCACTGGAGGCAGCTGCCCTGACCTGTGCCGCCTCCCTGAAGCTGCAGCCTCAGGACTGGAGCTCACTGGACGGGCCTCTGCAGGGCCTGCAGACGCTGCTGCTCATGGCTCTGCGGCAGGCCTCCGGCCGCCCCCACGGCCCCCACGGCCTCTTCCTGCGCTACCGCGTGGAGGCCTTCACTCTGCGTGGCGTCAACAGCTTCCGCCAGTACAAGTACGACCTGGTGGCTGTGGGCAAGTACGTGCTCTGGTGCCCTGTCTGGCCGGGGCGCGGTGGGGTGTGGGCTGGGCAGCTGTGGCAGGTCTCCCGTGTGGCAGGGCGCTGGAGGGCATGTTCCGGAAGCTCAACCACCTGTTGGAGCGTCTGCATCAGTCCTTCTTCTTCTACCTGCTGCCTGCCCTCTCCCGCTTCGTCTCCATCGGCCTCTACATGCCGGCTGCCGGCTTCCTGCTGCTTGTCCTCGGTCTCAAGATATCCTCTGCCATGCCGTCCACGCGGGCCCCCGCCTGCCGTCCACCTGTGGGCCCCCGCCCTGGCCCTCCCAGTACACCTGTTCTGGCAGTGTCCTTGACTCTGTCACGCCCTGGAGCTGTGGATGCAGCTGCACGAGGCCGGCGTGGGCCCTGAGGAGGCTGGAGGGGGGCCTGGACCCAACCCCTCTCTCCCCCCGGTCCAGGTGCTGGCCCTTCCCACGTGTGTCCTGAGTGGTTCCCACCGCTGTAGTCAGTCTCACGCTGCCCATGGGGAGGGCTCTGGGGGTTCCCTGGGCCCCAGGCCTGGACCCAGCTCCCTGTCCCCCGTGCAGGGTGTGAGCCTGACCTCGCTTGTGGCCCCCATGCTGATCTCACAGGCCATGGGCCTGGCCCTCTACGCCCTTCCGGTGCTGGGCCAACATGTGGCCACTCAGCACTTTCCGGTGGCTGAGGCCGAGGCCGTGGTGCTGACGCTGCTGGCGATTTATGCAGCTGGCCTGGCCCTTCCACACAACGCTCATCGGTGAGGGGCGTCCGGGTGGGATGGGGCAGGCCTGGGCGGTGAGGGGTCCCCTGGCCTCGCGTGTCTTGGGCTGTCGCTGAGCTCTCACCTTGCAGGGTGGTCAGCACACAGGCTCCAGACAGGGGCTGGATGGCCTTGAAGTTGGTGGCGCTGGTCTACCTGGCCCTGCAACTGGGCTGCGTCGCCCTCACCAACTTCTCGCTGGGCTTCCTGCTGGCCGCCACCATGGTGCCCGCTGCTGCACTTGCTGAGCCCCGTGGGCCCCGGTACGTGCGTCCATACCCTTCCCGCAGAGCCCAGCTTCCCCTACCGACACCCCCTCCCCGCTGCCCTGTGCTCACGGAGTCCGCCGTGCTGCCCTTCCCCAGGCCACTGTATGCTGCCTTACTGGTGCTGACGAGCCCGGCGGCCACACTGCTGGGCAGCCTCTTCCTGTGGCGGGGGCTCCTGGAAGTACCGATGTCGCTGGCCGAGGGCTGGCAGCTCTTCCTGGCCGCCCTGGCCCAGGGTGTGCTGGAACACTACACCTATGGCGCCCTGCTCTTCCCCCTGCTGACCCTGGGCATCTACCCCTGCTGGCTGCTCTTCTGGAATGTTCTCTTCTGGAAGTGAGGGCCCATGAGCCAGAGCCTCACATACCCCCCACCCTGCCTCCTGCCTGGGAAATAAACAGGTTCTCTCTCAGCCACCCTGTTTTGGGTGTTGCCTGGCACGGGGCATGGCCTGCCCTCTGGTCTGCCAACCAATTGGCATCCCTGGCAGCCAGACACTGCTGGCCCACCAGGGAGAGGGGGCACCCAGCGTGTCAGCCCCTGGCAGAGAGCCTCCGGCTCTGGCTCATGGGAGGGCACCTGCAGGATGCCGCTGTGGCCTACAGGCTCCACACACCCTGTTTGCTTGGAACAGGCCCACCCACGCAGGATGCCAGCGCCTGGGGTGCCTGCCTGGCACTGTGCTGCAACTCTAGGGGCTGCCTACAGCACCCACAAGTCCCAGTTGAACAGGGTGAAGCGCCAGTCCTCGGTGATGAGCGGCTGGAGCACTGGTAGGAGTTGGTGTGGGGCCAGCCCAGCTGCCTGGGGACCAGGAGGGCCTGGGCAGTTGGTTTTGCACACAGTTGGTGTGGGGCCAGCCCAGCTGCCTGGGGACTAGGAGGGCCTGGGCAGTTGGTTTTGCACACAGTTGGTGTGGGGCCAGCCCAGCTGCCTGGGGACCAGGAGGGCCTGGGCAGTTGGTTTTGCACGGAAGCTCCTACACTCAGAGCCAGCGAGGTTCTCCCTGGTGCCTATGAACTTGGAGACTCTGCCCAAGGGAAACCATGTCCGACTTTATGATCTCGTGTCCCTGCCTTAGGGGAGGGAATGCTGACCACACCTTTGAGGGGTCTCTAGAGCAGGCCCAGCGAGGGCAGCAGCCCTGGGCAGGCTCTGGTGGCTCACACAGGGCTCCCAGGAGAACCACAGGCCACACACCTCTCCCTCCTCCCCAGGCAGGGCTCCGAGTCACTTTCAGGGTGAAGGCTTGGTCCAGCCCGGCTGCTGCACACCGGGAGCTCCTCCGTCCTTCCCTGCCCCGGTCTGGCAGGAGCTGGGATGTGGCCATGCGGGTGTCCCAGAGGCCCCGCCCTGCACGCCTCCTGGCCTGTCCTACACTCACTGGCCTTGGGTGGGCTGGCATTTGTTTGCATAGCTGACCAGGGTGGAGAGGGTTGAGGTTTAGGAGAAAATGGGCAAGAGCATTGTTTTCAAATTCTCTTTGCCTCTTGTATCTGGGGGAGGGGGAGAGAAGGGGAGAAGCTGCCCGCCTCCCTGTTGGGCACACCCCATGAGAGCTGTGTTGCTGGTCCCCAGCACTCGTTTAACCATCGGGACGAGGAGGACGAGTACCAGGGCACAGGTGTTTTTTGGGGTGTCATTTTTTGATAGGGAGTTGGAAGTCCTGCCTGTGCTGGTTCTCCCCCCGAAGCAGCCGTGGTAACCCAGGTGTTCTGGGTAGGGGCAGGCCCCCCGTGCTAGGGGGAGCTGGGACTTGAACCAAGCACCCAAGGGCTGTGCCAGACACCTGCCTGGGACCTCAGTGTAGACCCAAGCACATGCCACCTGCAGCTGCTGGTGACCATGTGACCGTGCTGTAGCCTCAGGGAGGGAGTGTCAGGTGGAACCTGGGGTGCATCAGAGCCAAGGGGCAGCCGGCTGGGGGAGCAGTGCGATGGGCTCTGCACTGGGGTTCACGGAGGGGCAAGATGTGCAGGCCACACCCACATCC